TACCTTCGTACAGGGAGAAGTCATCGGCGACACAAACACCCAGGAGGCGCTCTTGACGGGCGCCGGCCAACCTTACGATCAACATTCCGCGCTGACAGGATGGTTCAGTATATCCACACTCCCTGGCGGGACCGGGACGAGTTATTACGAGTCCGTCAGCAATTTTATCCCCAAGCCAGCACCGCCAAGACGTGCATAGAGAATGCACCCTTCGCAGCTGACGGCAGCCCGGATGCGCAAGCAGCAGAAGCCGAAGAGCAGCAGAGGCAGGCCGTCACACACGTCTCCATGTGGATGCATCGCGGCGACTGCCCCCACTTGATCGAGGCCACGGCCTTCCTCACCGACGCCTTGCTCGGCGATCTCCACGAGACCAGGACAAGGGACTACTCGAACTTCCTCTCTGTCCGCTTGTCCTATGCTGCTGCCTTCAGCCGGTACGTAATTTCACTTTCTGTTATTGATCTAGCCACGATTCCACTCTGTCTCTCGTCCGCCTGGTGGGACACATCTCTTGTCAGCTTCGCTTTCTATGTTTGTTGAGAATGTTCCCGGCACTGCTTGCGCACGGTGCTATTTTCAGAACGTGGCTACCCGCTTCACTCACTAGGGGGTTTTCACGGAGTTGTTTAATGAACCCCGCCCGTCCATGATACACTCCCTTTTCAACTCAGGCAGTGTCCATTAGCCATGAAATTTTTCATTGTCTTACTCTGCGAAGCATCATTCCAGTAGCCCAAATGTTTTCATCCAAGGCCCGCTTGTTGACTTGTGTACGATAGTTTTGTCACTGGCCTCCTTGACAGTCAGCAGGACAAATTCCGCAAGCAGGGCATGTACACGATAGCTAAGAACATCGGATTACCGGCCACTTTCGTGGAGCTTAGACATCGTGCGACCCACGAGCCGCTGCCTTCGCTGAAAAACTTGAGAAATGGCGCACAAAACGCTCTTGCATGGATCTATGATTTTTATTGGAAGGACCTCACTCCATCTTGTAGAACGGCTCATGAACTTGAGAATGACATGGCATCCAGCCCTCGGAAAACGACCATGATCAGGTACCTCAGTGAGCAGGATCAAGCGGTCAGAGAGGACTTGCAAGAACGATGGAGGTCCTGGGATAAAGAGTCTCTAATGCTAATACTGCAAGACATTGCACATTCGTCTGAAGACTCTGTGCTGCAACTCAAAGCCTTGCAGCTTTTAGGGGTAATCCTAGAAGGAACGCCATCAGTGTCGCCGAAGAACCCAACTACGGCCAGTCGAGACGGCGGAACGAAAGGGAATATAGAGGCGATTCGAGCTGAGCTCCAGATGCTGAGGAACGAATTAGATCAACTCGATACCCCCAACGTAGATGCTGACGATGTCGTCAATCCAACGCGAGAAGACCCGACTGCTCTGGCGTCAGGCTGGACGGCTGGCTGGACTCGATGTTCAGAGCCATGGACAACAAGGCCTATAGGTGAAGTTTACAGGTAGTAGCTAAGATGACCTTTGCGTCTCAGACGTGATGATGAGTTGGCAGGATAAGCCAGACCTGAGGTTGGACAAGGCATGCTTCTGAAATATGGCATCGGCAATTGAGACAGTATTCCGCTTGGCTGACTGCATCTTCTGGATCACCGGGACAATTAAAGATGCAGAAATGACTTCGTATGCATAGTCCTCAGTGTTCACCCAACTTAATAAAAGAGATAACTCCCATCCCGTCTCATACCGTAGCCGATCATGTTGCTCCCCCAACCGACAGAGAAACTTGCCAGACGGTGGCGGGCCGACAACTCCAGTCAACGTCATGGTGATTGCAGTAGAGCTCTGATGATTGCGTCACGGACAATCCGGTCAATTGCATTGCAGACAATACGTATCTCGCATCCAATCGTCTTATGGGAAACCACCCATTTGTAAGCGATAGAGGAGCAACCACCAACGAGCTCAAACCCTCCTCATGACTTTCCTTGCTAGAGCTTCACGGCCTTCAGCTCTTCGAAACATAAAATTCGCGTCGTTTGCCCGGACAGTACGTTTGCTTTTCATATGCCGTATCATCTGGTGGGCGTCTTGGATCTATCCGTGTTGAAGATGCAGGGGAGGGAGCTTGGGGCATAGTCCACTGCCCACTTAGAAGATGTGTATCCCAGAAGCCTTCCACTGATGAGATGTTCAGCTAGCATTATCACGCACCATGCATATCCAGTCAATCCCTATGTGTAAGTTCTATCCTATCCATCAGAGTTATGAGTCATGTCATAACATCGTCTCTCTTCATTCCCCGAGCAAGCCTTTGCTCTTTGGTGTCTAGAGAAATAAGACACTGGGCGGAAAGCACCCTCCAAGAGGCTAACAATAAGGCATTCAAGGGACGGGGAGTAGTGACAACTACGCGTATCTTGTTGTCGACGACAAGTCCAAGGATGCTGTTATCGTCGACCCCGCACACCCTGCCGAAGTTGCACCTGTCTTGAAAGAGGCTATCCAAGCCGGCAAGATCAACCTGACAGCTATTGTCAATACCCATCAGTGAGTTACGTGTTGTTGCTCTAACGTGTTTCTGTCGTTCGAAACAGTGTGCTGAGACTTTTCATAGTCATTGGGATCACTCTGGAGGGAATAAGAAGCTGGTAAGTATATAAAGACCAGGTGGATTTCAAGAACAGAAATCTGACAGCATTGGCCATGAGTAGCTTGGCGAGCTGGGCAAGCCGGATCTGCCCATCATCGGCGGAGAAAAGTGCGAAGCTGTGACCAAGACGCCAGGCAATGGTGAACCATGGAGCATCGGAAGTATAGCAGTAAAGGGCCTGTATACGCCTTGCCATACTCAAGACAGCATCTGTTGGTTTATGCAGGATGGCGATGACAAGGTTGTCTTCACCGGAGATACACTCTTCCATGGTGGTGAGTTCCTCTACCATGAGCCTACGGTGGCCGTTCCGACACCACGCTGTGGGAATACAGAGAGTACGTTTGACTGAGGCATGATCATCTAGGTTGTGGAAGGTTCTTCGAGGGAACTGCCGACGAGATGCACACGGCGCTGAATAAGACCCTTGCCTCGCTACCAGAGGATACCAAGGTCTACGTGAGTCCAAACACCTGTCCATAGATGGAGTTTATCAACTCATAGCTCACTCTCATAGCCCGGTCACGAATATACAAAAGCAAACGTCAAATTCGGCATCTCGGTTCTGCAGAATGCGGCAATCCAAAAGTTACAGTCTTACGCTGATAGTAACAAGGAGACCCAAGGAAAATTCACCATTGGTGACGAGAAGGTTTGGGCTCCTAAATTGACCCCAACCCCGACACAAGCTGACCGCGTATATAGCAACACAATGTCTTCATGCGGGTAGATGTAAGTACATCCGAACGCACCACGTGACAAAATCCCGGCGTAGGGCGCAGGCTAACAATAGCGATGGACATAGGATCCTGAGATCCAAAAGGCTACCGGCAAGACGGATCCAGTTGAAGTGATGGCGGCTCTGCGGGAGATGAAGAATAACTTCAAGTGAGTAAGTAGCGCTAAGGAAACTCCCGCGCTGCTGTGGAAGTCGCTTATGGAAATTAGGCCACCTACGGAGAGTAGAATGTGAATTAAGGTGGACATATGGGCTGCGGTTCCAAACATAGTTGACAATAGAGAGAGGCAGCACATATGTGAACTGTTCCTAAACTTTTTGAGAGGAAAGGGGAACTTTGCCATATGCTCGGAAGTGATTCGAGTCTTCCTGTGTACTTTGATAAGCCAAGCTGGTTCTCCACAATGGTCAATGAATGAACCATGCCACTTCATGCTTTAATGGTTCACCAGGAGGTTCTTCAGCATTATACCATAGGCTCAGACATGAATATAACATTATGGCAATTACAGCTTCGATTCTTGTTGTGGTGTGTACGGTTATACACAGTTGAGCAGTCACTACTTCGATATCAAATTACCAAACTTGTTCATAGCCATTAGGAGCCTTTAGGTAGTGACTTATGTCTAGCACCACCTATCATCAACCATTGACAGCACGAAAATAGATTCTATATAATAATACACTCAAAGTCTACATAGACACATTGTTCATTTCATCGCCAACGGACTGGAGCATAGCGAAATGTACAGCACGTAATGTCTCCCTCAACATGGCGTGCTGTTGCTACCCGGCAAGCGATGCATGTGCCTGCCGAGCCTGCCTCTACTTGCACTTGCCGCCGGCTGTAGAGTCGGAACAGTCCGGCACAACCAAAAACATCCGCAAACGCGGACATCCGTGCACAGCCCCACAATTGCTGGACGCCCTGTCAAATTTTCTGCTGGCTCATATTTCTCAACCATCTCGATCTTCAATCATACAAACTTGAATGTCCCCAAACACAACAGAGTTGGATGGGTATATTTCGAACATAGTCTACTGCATTCAATCTCAAGATCCGGTAAGTTTGTCCGCGACGTCGCGCTGCGCTGCGACAGAGCAGGACCACATCGCATTGTAGATCCAGATCGACATCCCGTGGCTCGGTGCAGTGTATCGGAGCATGTCACAATTCCTCTGCCATTTGATTTGATACTATGACCCAGCTTCAAAATATGCTAGAGCTTGCCGCCTCGACTGAATCACAGCGAGCAAGTGTGGACAGTGAAGCAAGAATGAAAAACCCCGTCACTTCAAAATGATGGTGGCGGTCAGACTTGGATCTGTTGCGTTCTGCTCGCATGAGTGGGAGGCTTGGTTTTTGTCGGAGACATTTGCTTATGTGAGGATTGATGGGAAAATGGCGTGTAGCTGTTATATGTGCCTGTGCTTATACTGTAGATGGTGACTATAGGATTGGGATTTCGGGAATCTGGTCTTGCTACGAGGTGAAATGGTGTCTGCTACCCTTGTCACTTCTTAATACTTGCAAAAAAATAATCGTGGTTCGGCTTTGCGGTCTTGCAATTGGTATAGAATATTGTAACAACAAAAGATTGTTGCCAGAGATGTGAAATGCAAAAGATTATGCTCCGAATCGGGGAATCGAACCCCGAGCTCCACGGCTTTATGACTGAAAACGTAGGATGTTAACCATTACACCAATTCGGATTTCCTTGTAATCGTTGGAGAATGGCCGAGTTAGAGGGCTCTATGACCTGTCTGCATGACGCCACACTCGAGTCGTAGAGGGGTTAAAAAAGATAGTCGCGCCCTAGCAAGTCTAAGCGTAAGGGATAAGCAAAAGGAGGAGCCATAAAGAGAAAGATAAGAAATGACGAGAGAGCAAGAAAAAAGAAAAAAAAACAAAAAGAGGATGCATTTCTCATCGTAATCAATGAGGCATTGGGAATTGAGCCCAATGCGGGGGTCGAACCCGCAACCTTGAGATTAAGAGTCTCACGCTCTACCGATTGAGCTAACCGGGCGAACGGTTGTGATTTGTTGGAGTTGTGGCCCCGTACTACGGTCTATACAGCCAGACACATGTGCTGGAGCTACGCGATAGCGTCGCCACGGTTTGCTCACGGCCTAGAGATTTCGTGACCAATCTAAACGATATAAGTGATGTAATTTAAATAAAGAAACATCCCATTGATAGACAGAGTATTCGATAATATGTGCGAGCACTTCAAGGCTTCGAGTGTCGGTAGACTCGCCGCGAAACGGTGACTGAAATGCAGATTAGGAGCAGGTCTATGAGATGCTAGCTTGACCTTTTGCGCATTTTGACACAGGCTTGCCATATGGGGAAAAAAAGATTGCTGAAGTTTGCAGCGCTGAACATTTTTTAATCATTTATGATATATATTTAACTTACGATGACGTCTTTTTCATCCCCGTGACGCACGAGAGGATAATCAAGAATGGGTAAAGCTGTAGAAGGCACAGCATTTGTCGTGGTCATTACTGAGCCACGAGCCACAGGCCCAATGCTAATGTTGATACCGGTGCTGACTTAGATGAAGAGATCTGAGCAAGTGGTCCTACCAGCAACAGATCCTGTATGTCCTCACTTGGTTTTTTCTCTCTCGCTGCCTTCAAGATTATCGGCCATGGGAGACATACGACAATAGTGCTAGCCCACTGATTTTCGGTATCAAGAGGAAGACCACCAGTCAATGAGTTGTGTTCAAGCAATTTGGTTATAGGAATGTATTAGGAACAGGACACGCCACAGCCCATGTAAAGGTATAGTATTGTTCAATTTGATGGGACAAATTGGTATGGCTGCTAGAGGATCAAGTTGAGGGCATTGACCTAAGCATGCACGCGAAGTGTACCTATATTGTGTTAAACAGCTGACGAGTTGTCCTGCGTCATGATGAACCCATATTTTGCCCAATACCCCTAACCTCATCGTCTTCGCACTCGGTACTTGTTACTCGTCCCTCTGGACCGGAAATTCTCGTTTTACTAAAACTAGCCACCACCGATCAACGGGAGTTTGGGTCTGCTACAGTAGTTTCTTTACCACGCACACCTTCGTCCTCTACTGTGTATGGAGAAGTCATACGTCTAGGTAGGGTAGGAAAAGCAGAGACGGCCTCTGATTCCTCTCGACTTAAACATATTGACAAATACGAAGACAAGATTCAAGGGGTGGTAAAATTTGTGTAAAATATCGACTGGCATTTAAAATCGGAGAGAATTGATCGTGTCAGTGCCAAATGTATCATTTCTCGAGTTTTATTTACCGAAGGAGGACGAATGGTTCCAACAGACAGTAATGATCTCACTGAAATGGTAACACTTCCATGCATAGAACATGATGCCGTAGATCGAGTTCCTTCTAGAGAGCCTACTAAGTCGTACATCTACCACTCATGGCCGCAGGACTCACCCATCTACTCTCATAGATCTAACCCACTCTGGTCTTGAAAATGACATCCAACAGCTTCCTGTCAAACGGTAGGTGGATCCAGGCGCATCTAGCTCGCCTTGGTATATCTCAATAAATCGAAATCACGTTGTCGCTCCGGCTTCCATCTATAATGAACTAATCCCGTGTACACTTTCGCGATTATTAAGCAATAAGCCAAAGCTCCTAGGTAGAGTCCAACCTCACAGAGAGGGGCATGGACTATTCATAGTACGAGACTGAGTCCCGAGTGGGAGAGACAACGCCACCAGAATACGCAATGTGCGAATAATAAACCATTAGGCATATCAATACAAACGCTCGAGACTCTCAATGGTTTACAATAATATTTCCATTCCCACATTTTTGAGGGGAGTCGTATGTACGTCTAGTATCTCATAACCCAACTCCATATCACCCACTATACACGCTGTCTATGCTCAACGACGGGGATATCTCAATGACGACGCCAGCACACACATAGAACCATGCCATGTACTCTGTAACAGTAATCCAACGCCAGGAAATGCCATATCATGTCATGCACACCACACCGCCCACCCCCCTTCGTATCGCCCAGAAGTACCCTTCTGGCCACGCATCCCGGGTGCACCCCGAACCCCGGGTTCTTCCCTATAACCCGCCAACACCCGCACCATGGCTCCCCATCTGTAAACTAACTTCCCACCTCAGACTACCACCTCGTCCATAGCCCTCCCCAAGACGATTCTGGATCAAGTTCTGAATCCTGACCCTGACCCTACTCAATGTGGCATCGTCACATCCCTTATTGACACTGAGTTTCAAATTGGCCATGCAGAGTCCATAATGGACCTGCCAAAACTGCGCCTCTTCCACCCTCTCAACACTCGGTTCAGTTTCGATCTCCCTAAGCACATCCGAGACGCCGAACTCTTTGACTTTGCCCTGGACCTGCGAAGGTCTACCGCCATAACTCATGAGCAACATGAGCCCCTGAGCAATGGCGAGTCGGATGCCGAGCAAGAACATGGAGAGGGCAATAACCGCACAGATGGCACTATCGAGTAGGATATGGAGCTTAATCTCAAGCAGCGGTAACAAAACCAACAGCGCCGAAGTCGACAACGTCAAGAAGTGGAAAGGATTGCTCAGAATACTAGGTAAGCTCGCCAAATAACTGACACGCATGACCTTGCTAATGCGGTAATGATTCCGCAGCCCGTACGCACTGACAAGCGTAGCCACGATCGCGGCACAGCTCACTAGATCTAGGCTTCCCATCGGTATCCTGGGCTCATCGTGCTCATGCGCGTGGACGTGAGAGTGGTCTTCGTTAGGACCGTGGCCCTCGAGAATGTGCTTGACATTGTGGCTGACGAGATCGAAACCACCGAATATGAGGAAGATGCTCATTGCGAAGCCGGCCAAAACCTCAGCGCGCTCGAGTCCGAAGGGATAGCGGATGGAGCTGCGTTTCCAGACTTCGAAGTTGCCTAACACTTCGACAGCTACGCAGATCAACGCGCTCCCAACGTCAAAGAACACGAGGTGGGAGAGCGCGGTCATGGTCAGTGAGCCGTGGGCGGAGAGAAACAGGACTACGGCGATGAGGGCGTGGCAGAGACACCAGTATAGCCGATTGCGCTGGTCTTTTGACATGGAGCCCCATGTTTCTTTGAGTGTTGGGATTGGTAAATCGCGAGGGAGCGCGAGAGGTGGTCTCGGTGGTGGCTCTTGGAAGATCTGGTGTTGCGCGGATACGGAGGAGTGCTTGTATTTGTGACCGCGACGCTGCCCGACATTAGGTTTTATGGGACCAGTGGAAATGACTTGCGTCTGAAAGTTGAAGGGATTTGGCGCGGGATTCGCATTCTCGTTCGGCTGAGAGAAGTCGTCGATAGAAGACATCCTGGGGGTTAGGAGTGAGGTGTTGTTTGGGAATGTGGGCGCGACAGGCGAGAGACTTTTGGAGCTGTAACGAACGTTGTGCCTATCGCCTGCCCAGGCGTTTTGCGGGGCGTAGACATTGGCGTTCTGCTGGAAGCTCAAATGGTTGTGGTTGTCGTGGTAGTTGTAGGCGTCGTCGCCGTTGTGTTCGTCGTGTTCGTCGGGCGTCTCAATGGTGGGAATGACGGATATTGGAGGTGGGATCTGGCTGCTGCTGAGAGGAGCCATGCCACCACACACTAAGCAAGATCTTGGCGCTTACCCCAAAAGAGACGAATTAATGACTAAGGGAGAAATCAATTGGCTCGGTGCAAGAGATGTGAAATGAGTTGCATACCAAAAAAGGGATTGCCAATTGCAAACAGAGAGGGATGGGTCGAGGGTTGGAATTTGTGGTGTCGCGGCCGTTGCGTGTCGTGAGTCGCCGCAACGGTGCATATGTCTCGGAACACAGCGCGAATGACAACACAAGTCAGCGGCCACAGGTGCTAGGTAAGTTCAACTGGTCATAACGTTCCGCCGTGCCTCCTTCTGCCCCTTCTGGAATGGTGGCAGAACCATCCTCCCCGCAATCTGTGTCTTTAGCCGTTACACAACCCACAACGGATGATGGAAAGTCTTCCAATTGACTTTCGCACCGTTCCGCTCCTTCCGCACTATGTTTGAGAAGCATAGTTCAAAGTTTGCATGAACCCTCCGCTCGATGAATTCGTTACTTGCCAAAGATTATATTAACTCACTGAGCTAGCCTACCAAATGTTAACTATGAAGGCCGGCGTGAGTTCGTCTCATCTTTCCTGCGTAAGGAAACCTATGTAGCGTGAAATAATGGTTCGAGAATAAGGGAAGCTTTTCATGTGGCGATGATGGTGTTTACTACCCTTATGCACCTTTCTAAAAACTAGATATTGATTGTATTCCAATTTCAAGTCTTATCAAGTTGACGTATAGTGTTCGGACTTACTCATTGGCGGAGGTTATATGATGCACACGTTTTGCTTCGTTGTTTGATAGGCGAATTAATAAGATATAAGGGTAGGCTCGTGGAGGCATTCCTAGCTAGGCACTGCAGTTGTCAAGTCAAGGAGACTTGGGTGCGAATACTATCATAGTCCGAACACGACGGAGTGTGACCATGAGCCTATAAACGAGCAAATAACCGGCATAGTGAGCCTTAAACCTCATGTTTGAGTTCGGCCACATCGGCTTGAAGTTTAGAAATAATACCGCCGAGCTTTTGGCAATGCAAAGGGACAGTTGATTGATGAAGCATAGAAGAAGGATACATGTAATGAATTCAATATGGGACGACGTTGACAGA